TATATATATAATATAATATATAATATAGTATATATATAAACATCATACATAATAATATATAAATAATAGTATATATATATAATATATATAATATATGTATAATATACTCGTGAATATATGTATAATGATATATAATAATATATATATACTGTATATATATATAGTATATATATATATATAAGTATATATATATATATATATAGTATATATATATGATATATATATATAGTATAGGTGATATATATATATGATAACATAATATATTATATATATATATCATAATCTAGTATATATATATAATGATTATATATATATAGATTATATACATATAATATATGTAGATAAATACTATACTATAATAATAACATTAGTTCAATGACGCCCTTCAGATCCAGGGTGTATTAAAGTTTATCCTCAGTCATGGAATATAATGTCTGGAGGTCTAGTATAGGCCGGGTTGAAGTGATAACATTGCCGATTACAATCACATGAACACAAAAATGGCCATAGGCCAGTTCGTGATGTGAGAAAAAGCTAGCTGTTCTAATTAGAACAAGCTGACTCAGTATACTCAAGTGATAAGGTTGACGAAAAGAACTCGATACATGAATGTAGCATTAAACCTTCTTAAAGTCATACCATGAGCGTACAGTGAAGCTTAATTTTACATAGCAGAAAAATAATGTTTTCCAGTGGCGCGTTCAAGAATAATACCTATGGACAGGGGCGTAAATGATATTGGGGGAATACACTGACCCATTATTTAGTGGCGCCAAGCCACGAAGTGCAACAAAATTTAGAGGAGTGACAAGCTTGATCTGGTAAGGTATCGCGACGCGGCAGGTAGTAGATGCCGAGTAATGTTTATGAATAGTAATTTCAGGTGTCACCCATAAAGTAGTGATTATTGGAGTGATGTGACACTCACATGTACTAGGTAATAGTGGGTTATAGTTGTTATGAAACACATTGGACCTTATTTAGTAAAAATGCATGTTTGCATGTATTACCGATTAACAAAAGAGACAAGATGTGAAAGTTATAGTGATATATGCTGATAAGCTCCAATGACTGGAGAAAGAACGCCGCTCTCCAGTTAGTATAGAGGACGCCGAGTTGTTCACTAATGTACTGGCTGTCAATAGTACTGAGTACATATGCTTTATCCTGGGCCACTATTATGAGACTGGACAGTGTAGCTGTTGTATTAGTGGAAAGAAAAATTATGAAGAAATAAGCTATTTGACTCAAACAATATTTTTTTATTTTTAGTTCGTTGCACCAAGTTTATATTTTTAATCATATACATAAGAGAGAATAGAGATATATGGAGGTCTGTGCAAGTAGTGAAAATAATTCAAAATATACCATTATATATATAAAGTCAAATACTAAAAGACAGTATAAACATGGCAAAAAAAACTTTTTTTTAATAAGTTTACGTGCATAATTAACTTTGCAAAAGGCAGCTGACTCACATAGAGTCCTGTTCACCATCAACATGTAGAGTTTATTCTAAATCAGCTGCGTTTCACTGGCTACATTATCGCGCCACATATGTATTATACAAGCCATAGGAGTATACTGGCCTACTTACATAATTACCTTCTAACTGCACTGTACATTTATTGAGCATTGTATAAATTTCTGTATGACAACAGATACCATATAAGTATCTACTCTTACTGCTATGTATTTGAATATGGTATATGTACGGTATATATACATAGGGTATATATATTAGTCACTATATTTATTATTTATTGATATCATACACGTATTATATATTATATATAATTAACGATACATTGCGATGTTGTATGTATGCGTGCTTAAATGTTATAGGGTATATAATACCCCTCCACTCAGTGCTACTTATTCTTCCAATTCCCTCTCTTTCACTCTTCTGTTCTCTGTTTCCCTTTTCTTCGAGCAACTTCCTTATTTTTTCCTCTTCCTCCTCACGCACAAATCTCTCTCCTCTTCCATTGTCCTCTTCCTCGTTTACCTCCTCCCTGCCTCGTCCTCCTTCGCACCTACCACCACATCCTCCTCACTCCACACGGCACCTCTTTCTCCTCCACCACCATCTCCTCCTTCGTCCTCCTCGCTCTCTTTACAGAGTTCTCATTTATTCAGCATCTGCCATTATTTATTAAGGAAGCAGTTCACCTTTCGTAAGATGCTTAATACCGACCTAATTGTTAAACTTGTGCCCAGGATAGTATTAACAGGAAAGAGGCATTCGACTAACAGTAGAATGGATAAGTTAAAGCAAAAGGAATTCTTTTTGTGTGAGTCGGTGAAGAGAGGAGGTTTGTTTGGATTCCGGGCATTACGAAGTAGAGAATGACAATAAAATAGATAGATAGTGAGTACATAGATAAGAGTAGGGTAAAAGTCAGATTACGATAGATTACGGACAATGAGGAAGCGGGAAGTGAAGTGCAAGGAGTTGGGGTTAGGTTGATAGATAGAAAGTTGAATGGAAGGAGGAGGATGATAGGAGAGGAAGAGAGAAGAGGAGAGAGACAGACAGACAGACAGACAGAGGATAGAGAGAGCAGACAACAGACAGACAGATAGATCCAGACGAGCAGAAACGCAAAAGAATGTATATAGTAAGAAAAAAAAAAAAAAAGTGCGAGAACGCAGAGAGAGAGGGCCCTGACAAAGGCTCCATTTTTCCTCCCAAACCAGGGAGTATTAATGCCACCGCCGCCCCCTTGAACACGGCCCCGATTGGGACGAGCGCGAGTAGGACTCGACGGACTCATACCTGTAACAAGACCGCCATAACACAAATTTAGAGAGAGAAAAAATATAAAAACAAAATAGAATAATAGAAACAAGCAACACCTACACAAATATATTTTATATAATATTGTATATAGTAATAAATATATATATATTATTTCAGTTTTAATAGAGACAAATCATCCATTAAATTAAGGTATAATACATATGGGATAATAAAATATTTAATTTTATCTATTATATGTGCTGGCTTGGATTTTATCACTTTAGTTTCACATGAAGCCTACCACTGTAAGAAAAGTGACTTAATAAAATAAGGAAATATAAATTACTCTAGATGAAAAAAAAAATATAAAGATCTTTTTCCCACTATTCTACTTTTATGATTAGTGTCGCATGTCAACTAATATAGGGCATTAACTATGTATGGAAAAACCACATTTGGATCGAGTGGTTGGTGTATGATGAGAGTGTCGGATATTCACTCAAAAAATTATCACATACGACACACACACAACAGCTACCACATCATCTTTATGAACAGGAAAAAATATACTCAACACAAATGGTGCAGGTTAGCATAAATAGTATACAGAAAAAAATTAATAATTATTAAAAAACATTATATAACCATAAAAATAAATATAAATTAATAAATAATATCAGCAATACATCTAATACTAATTATAATGTGCAAATTAATGAGCATTATGTATTTAGGTACCATAATAATGCATGTTTCAATAATGATAATCATTTATAAATTATAATGGAATGTGCCCAAGTGACAAATACAAAATAAATCTAAATTATTTCTAAATAATTAATAAAAACACTACAACACCAATTAACAATATAGTTATAAACGAACATTTATACCATTCTCTATAATCCTACTCTGACTATTATAAGTGAAAGGTGTGATGAGAGTGTGGATATTGAAATATGATTATATATAAGTTATATGTACAAAATACAAGCAATCATTCTAATATAATCATGTCTTAATAAAAAAAACCTTCTTATATTAATTTTGAAGGTAAGTGCAAGCAAAGGTCTCCTCTGACTAGAATCTAGTCCAAGAATTAATAGTGTTCAATATTATACTATATATTGCTTTTAGTTTAAATACTTCATTACCTAAAATAGATTATTAATGTTATCATAGTTAATTGCACTACAATCATGACAATTCATGATAGTTTATGCAACATAATGAGTAATAAAATATATATATTGGTGCTATTAGAGTTTTTGAAGTATAAAAGTGAGTTTAAACTGACAATAACGACTTTTAGGTATTATAATTGATATACAGCTCATTCAGTTTGATATCTAGGCATAAAGCTCTTAAATTTTCAAGCAAAAGAATGCCCTTTGCTATGAAAGTTAGCTCATTTGCTAATAGTTCATTCTCTCATTTCAAAAAGTTCCCTTCCCAATAACTATTGTTAAAAAAGTATCATTAACAATAACAAAATAATCCAAAAATATAATTCAATTCTTTCAGTTATTGTTCATCTTTGGCTTATAGCACTAAGGTAGAACGAAATACAATATCCAGTAAAGCCAGAATGGAAAGTGAGTGGAAAAGCAATGCTTATCACTGCATAGTGACATTGAAGGACACTAATTATCTCCAATTTGGATTTTCTCTAGGTACAGTAAATGTCTCCTGTAGTTCACAAAACAGACAAATGACAGGTGGAAAACACAACACTGATATTGGGTTTTCAAGAGAGGGAGGCAGAAAGGGCAGGGGAACTATAACACTAAAGGTAATCTGAAAGCAACACAGTTCAAGGCATCTGGAATAGTTATCAGCCATGAAAAAGCATTTTAAGCCATATTACAGTTTACAACCAAACTCTTTTTTACCGAATTCAAGATTTAAGTTTGATTCAGTCAAAGGTATCAGTTACGATGATGCCAATATGTATAATTTGTATCTTATTTTCATTTTTTCTATTCATAGCAAATGAGAATGTCTACAGATTTGAAGTTAAAAGTTGATGAGAATGAAAACTGGATATTCACATTTCTGTCAATATAAAAGAAACATTCTTATAACATTTCTTCTAATATAAATCTGAAAGAATTCAGAGTTTATACAAAGTACATTATCATTCACAGGACAACAATCATTATAAGTATAAAGATTTTCAAATTCATCAATCAAGAGTTTGTTGAAAATATGATCACACCCCGCATCTTAATTTAGGCCCATAGATATTTCTTTAAAAAATAATTTGCCGTCAGATAAAGCTGAAATTATCCTTTAACATTAAAAGAAAAAAAGTTCTAAAAATACCTTATAACTACTCCTCTTAAATAAACTCACCATTTGATTATACACTGTATCATATGTACAAGCTTTATAGTGCTGTAACACAAGACACACACCTCCAATAGCCATTAGGTGGAAGTCATTGACAACTTATATCTACTGTTAAAAAACAAATTCTGGGTAAACTTTACCAGACTTCTAATTTGAAACCCTTTTTGTACTAAGCCAATATTCAAAAATATATACTGAACAGATGGCAAATCCAGATAATTCTCAGGTGTTGATAATTTTTTTTTTTTTATTATTTATTATTCCACAAGAAATCTGGCCAAGATAGGAACTGGACAAGAGGAGCAGGTGATAAGAAGCTGCAAACATTTTACAGAAAAAGAAGGAAATAAACAACCGACTGTGTGTGGTCTCAACTTTTTAGTGCAAAATGCAGTTCATAATAACAATTAATAATTCAATGTGAAACCACAAAACAAATAAATGTTAATACTCCTTTGACACACATCTACTTTTCTCAATAAAAACATTTAAAAAAATAAAACAAAGGTTAAAAGCTTCACAGAGTAAACTGCAAAAAAAAATATAAAATGAAATGTAAATCAATAAAATCAAAGAAAGAAAAGGGATGACAAATGCAAATTCTCACAAAGAAACGTACCATTCTGAGGCACTGGATTACAGATGAAGGAGATTGGAAGAAAGAGACTGGATGTAGAAATACTGGGTTGGATTGCCATGCTGCCTATTTTCTATCCCTAAATTGGTCTTAAATTTCTTTCTCTGTTACTAAACAATCTCTAACTATGGCTTCTTCCTCTTTTGTACATATCAACAATGCATACTAGTACAGTACACATAAATAAAATTTTACAACTTTATCTACAGACTGATATTGTCTGAAAAAGCTTCATAATTTAATCAAGATAAACAAGAACACCAGAAATGATATCTGTATGTACTTTATACAATTACATCGTAGGTAAGTTCAATAATTAATTATATATAATATATATATATATATATATATATATATATATATATATATATATATATATATATATATATATATATATATCATGTTTTCATAGAACATGCACAATCATCTCACACACTCTTATATGTTACACCACTTCAATAGATCAGTATTTTCACCTTTCTTCCCTCTACACCTTTACTCCTTCAATTCACATTAGAATATTTTAATCTATTGATCTACTAACCTCAATAAATCAATACTGCATAAAAAATAACAGTAAACCCTGTACTATGAACAATATATTCGTATTTTATATACTAAAACATATATACATATATCTAAGTGCCCATAATACATACCAGTGTAGTGGATGGGAATAATGCCACGGTAGAGATGGCACTGTCTGGCCACCTGTGGGTATCGTGTTACAGCCACAATTGGGCAGCGAGGCCTGTACTTTGAAACCAGATGAGCAGAGCGACCAGTGGTGGTAATAACAATAATAGCTGTGGCCATTGCTTTGAATGAAGCTTCAACAGCAGCAATAGCTGTGGTGTGTGTTGAGTCAGTAGGCAGATGGACCTAGAAATAAAGAGTAATTTCTCTATATAAGAGATAGTTATCAACTGTATGATCATAAACATTTCTCAATGGTGTATCAATGGATTTTTTTCAATTTCTTCTATCTATCTACTATTCTTCTATCTACTCTCCTTCTATATATTCTTTCTTTCTTTAAACTAAATATGGCTAGTCAGACAATCTCAAATTGGTTTGCTAGTTAAGCTACTATCAGGTCTATTTATACAATACTCCATAATGTTAACCCATTCGTCCCAGGTGTCACATATATGAGACACCGGAAAAAATAAACATTGCCGGGCGGCCCGCCAGTGTGATGCTGTCTCGGGGCTGCGCCCCGACGCAGCAGCAGCGCGCGGCCGGGCGGGCGGACAGACTCCGGGGAAGCTTCGCCCGCCGATTTTGTAGCCGCCCAGATTTTTTTATTTTGGCTACAAAATGTACCCGGCGTGACTGGGTCAAGGCATAAGCATATCCAAATTTTGAAGTGAAAATACATATCTTCAACATTACCTGCTGAGACAGCTCAGTGAAGAGTTGCTTGTGCCAAATTGCAGCTTCAGCTTCACGTGCAATGTTGGCCATGGTTCGTACACAAACAAGAGGGTAGCCTCCCTTAGCAGTTTCACCAGACAGCATGACACAGTCAGCACCATCAAGGATAGCATTACCCACATCAGACACTTCAGCACGTGTGGGACGGGGCTTCTTCACCATGGATTCCAACATCTGGGTAGCACAAATGACTGGCTTACCAACCTGTGGGGAAAGAGTAAAATAATTTGAGTTAGGAAACCACTTTGTAATTTGGAAAAAAAAAAAAAAAAAAAAAAAAAAAAAAGCAAATAATAAAATCATTGATAACAAAGTTCAACCTCATAAATAATGTAAATGGATTTTATTTTCAAGAAATAAAATCTAAATATTCTGAAACCAAACATCACAAATGATACTAGATTGAATAATTCAACATTCTACAAAAATTGATAGCTTAAGTGTTGTCTCAGCTTTCCTATTAGCTGATTTAGGTCATATTTCACAGCATTTTGTATGACTAGAAAATTTCATGCTTTAGTCGGAATACGATCCCCTTCAATCAAAAGAACAAATTTGAATGGAATTTTTGACATGTTCTTCAAGAAGAAAGACATGTATATCTATTATTCCTTCGAAGAAGTGAACTTACTTTGTTGCACTTGGCAATCATCTGTTTCTGGGCCACGAAGACCTTCTCAGCAGGAATCTCAATACCCAAATCACCACGAGCAATCATGATACCATCTCCCTCTTCAATGATGTCATCAATGTTCTTGCATCCCTGGTGATTCTCAATCTTGCTGATGATTTTGATATTCTTGCCCTTTTCGCCTGAAACAATCTCATACATCAAATATTACACCCACAAAATGTCTCAAAAAAAAAAAAAAAAGGAGATCATAAATACATTAGTTTATGTCACATTTCAAGGGAAAAAAAGATATTAGAGGCAACCTCACCAAGAACATCTCTGATCTCACGGACTCCAGCAGCATCACGGATGAAGGATGCAAACACAATGTCTACTCCCATTTTGACACCAAGGAGGAGATCACCACGGTCCTTCTCAGAGACTGCAGGAAGGTCTACTGGAACACCTGGGAGATTCACTCCCTTCTTGCTCCCAAGCATACCTCCATTTTCAACCTCACAGTCAATGGAATCACTGCCTTTAGATCAAAAACAAAATATATAATTTATCCAATTTCTTTTTTCTAGCTTCATTATAGCTATACAATTTATCCAATTTCTTTTTTCTAGCTTCATTATAGCAAGACTTTTACTAAATAATAGTAATCATAAATAATCATAAATACTTCCACATTATGGACTTAAAATGCATAGTTTGTTTCCTATAATCTTTTGTACTGATAATGACTTTCCTGTTTAGGCCACAGCAAATTTTTTCTTGAGTAACAGACCCACCGACATTTATTTCCAAGAAAAAAATCATCAAATTTTTCACTGACATCATGATGTCCGTGAAAGAAGCAAAAAAATAAATATAAATCAATTTGTCTCTAATTTATTGTGTATGGTATCGTTTCTCCCGTGCCCAAAACAAAAATAAAATGTATTTGGCAGAAATACCTTACTCTCATGCATCATGTCATGCCTATTGTCTACCGTTAATGTTTTATTTTGATTTCCAAAACAATAAATTCTGGTTGAAAGAATTCTTTGTCTGTTTTCATTCAACTCCTCGAAGACTTCTAGGAAGACAGAATTGTACTTCTTCCAGGTGGGGCTGGAACTGATACCTTCCTTTACTTCTGATCTTTGGAAGGTAGGAGGTACACTTGTCTTATTTTGGTGCTGGGGATTTTTTTTTTTTTTTTTTTCTCTTTTCCCTCCCACCAATATTTCATTATCACCAGTTGCTCGCTATTCAAGAAAAAAATTTGCTGTGGCCTTAGGTACAGCAATCCTTAAAATTTTTATTAAAAGCAATTACATAAAGAAGGGATTCAGAATCAATGTATGTGTAGGCACTACCCTTAACTTACCCACGTCCTTAGCAATAAGAGAGATAAGGCCATCATCAACAAAGATGCGGTTGCCAGGCTTCACAACTTTGGTAATGTTGACATAGTCCAAGTAAAGCACGTCTTCTGAGCACTTTTCATAGTAACTGGCATCTGTGGTCAACTTGATTGTAGCACCTTCTTTCAATTCAATTTCAGCTGATGGTCCCTACAATAAAAGAGCTCGTTAATCAAACCAGCTATGGAAAGGAAAGGAGAGGAGGAAGAGGAAGAGGGAGAAGAAACAATGAGGGAAGAAAAGGAATAGGGAGAAGAAACAGGAAGCAGAAAAGGGAAGACGAAGGGGGAAAGGAAAAAGGGTGAGGAAAGGAGAAAGGGAAATGTATTGTGGTATGGGTATGAGCATGGGATGGGCACAGGTATGGATACAGGTTTGAGTACAGTTATGGATAAAGACTAGGGTAGGGATAGAAATAGGAAGATGAATGAAGATAGAAACAATGATAGGGATTGGAAGAGGACAGGGACAGATATGAATCGGAATTGGGATAGGAACACGTGCAGGAACAGGAGCTAGGATGGAAGCCACAAAGATAGAGAAGGAAATAATTATGCATTAACTGCTTGGATCCAGGTGACGTGATCATCCAGTCATGAAATATTTTTGTTGAGGGCTGGGTGACGTGAACCAGCTGTCATGAACAAAGGCCAGGGTGTTGGAAAGATAATACCAATGAGTAATGACTGCAAAAGCGCCAACCCAAGGGAGGACGCAATTTCCTTGAGATATATAACAAAAATAACAAATATATTTTTTACTCACATAGAGAGATGGGAAATAAGATATCACCATTTGGATATAGCAAATCAACAGACAAATATGGACATTGGAAAAGAAAGAAAGAAAAAACAAGAAAAGAAAAAAAAGTTAAAAAAGAAAAGAAAAAAAAGATGGTTTATACAAAATAACTTTTGTCTTGTCTTGTCACCAAAAACAAGTGTTCGTGTACACCATGTCTATGCACCCTATGCCCAGCCTCGTGGCCACTTGCATAACCTAATACCAATAATTATGGCTGTGTGACTGCCAAGACGCAACTGGATCCAACAGATTAACACACAATATCTCTTATAGACATGTGTTATTAACAAGGATTCTTTGTTAATGAATTACCAATTTGGATAATAGTAAATGAGACTTACACCTTCCAAAAGGCCAGTACGAATTTCAGGTCCCTTTGTGTCAAGAGCAATGGCAACAGGATAAGAATGCCCAATCTTGTCGGAATACTTCTGGGCTGCCTTACGGACATTCATCATGGTCTCGCTGTGGTATTCATGGGTGCCGTGGGAGAAGTTCATACGTGCGATGTTCATGCCAGCCTCCATCATTTTCTCCAGCATCTCTACAGACCGAGAGACAGGTCCTGGAAAAGAAAGGATGTAAATTATCGTTAAAAATAGTATAAGCATAAAATATCAAATACTAAGTATGACATATTTCCCGCAATGGTATTTTTCTTTTGATTTTAAATCATATGAAATCATCAGGTAACAAGCCGGTTCAAATAAAATCAAGAAAAAATAATCTCTATAGAAAAAAGGCAATATTGTTGCTGATATCTTTAAGTAAACCATCTTCTTACCAATGGTGCAGATGATGCCGGAGAGTCGCTTCGAGAATGGTTTGGAGTCAATATCCAGGGCCGCCATATGGTCCACCTGGGTGTGGGTATCTGCGGCCCCAAGTTGCATGGGTGCTACCTTCGACATCTGCAAGGAAGTAAAAGAAACAGTATTAATTCACAAAAGCAAAGTACTCTCATTTGCATTAGTGATGCTTATAAAGTGCATCTGTGTAACCCATAGGAGTGAGGGAGTGAGTGAGTGAGTGAGAGTCTGTTTTATTTATTTATTTGTTTGTTTTTGTGTGTTTTGTTTGTTTGTGTTTTAGTTGTTTGTTTATGCGTATTTGTGTGCTTTGTTTGTCTGTGTGTTTGCATTTTGTTTCTTTGTGTTTTATTTGTTTGTTTTGTTTATTTGTTTGTGTATTTTATTAATTTGTTTGTTTATTTCTTTGCTTGTGTGTGTTTTTATTTATTTGCTGTATGTGATTTTGTTTGTTTATTTATTTGTGTGTGTATTTTTTTGTTTGTATGTGTGTATCTTGTTTGTGTGTGTATCTTGTTTGTGTGTTGTGTTTGTGTGTGTATCTTGTTTGTGTTGTGTTGTGTCTTGTTTTTGTGTGTGTATCTTGTTTGTGTGTGTATCTTGTTTGTGTGTGTATCTTGTTTGTGTGTGTAGTGTGTCTTGTGTGTGTTTTGTTTGTGTGTGTGTTTGTTTGTTTGTTTGTTTGTTTGTTTTGTGTGTATGTTTTGTTTGATTTTGTGTGTGTTTTGTTGTATTTTGTGTGTATGTTTGTTGTGTATGTTTGTGTGTATGTTTTGTGGTATTTGTGTGTTGTTTTGTTGGTTTGTTTGTTTGTGTATGTTTTGTTGGTATGTTTGTGTGTATGTTTTGTTGGTATGTTTGTGTGTATGTTTTGTTGGTATGTTTGTGTGTATGTTTTGTTGGTATGTTTGTGTGTATGTTTGTTGGTATGTTTGTGTGTATGTTTTGTGTTTGTATGTGTTTTGTTTGCGTGTGTTGTGTTTGTTTTGTGTGCGTGTGTGTTTTTGTGTGGTGTGCGTGTGTGTGTTTTGTTTGTTTGTTTTGTTGTTTTGTTTGTTTTTGTTTTGTGTTTTGTTTGTTTTTGCATGTGTTTTGATTGTTTTTGTCTGTATTGTTTTTTTTGTGTATTTTGTTTGTTCATGTGTGTGTTCTGTGTTTGTGTATGTGTGTATGTGTTTTGTGTTTGTGTGTGTGTGTTTTGTGTTTGCTGTGTGTGTGTGTGTTGTGTGTGTGTTTGTGTTGCTTGTGTGTGTGTTTGTTTTGTGTTTGCTTGTGTGTGTGTTTTGTGTTTGTGTTGTTGTTTTGTGTTTGCTTTGTTGCTTGTGTTTTGTTTGTTTGTTGTTGTGTTTTGTGTTTGCTTGTGTGTGTTTTGTGTTTGTGTATGTGATTTGTTTGTGTGTGTGCTTGCTTGTTTACATGTGTTATTGTGTGTGTGTTTGTTATTGTGTGTATTATTGTGTGTGTGTGTGTTATTATGTGCGCATGTGTTATTGTGTGTGCATGTGTGTGTTATTGTGTGTGTGCGTTATTGTGTGCGTGTGCGTTATTGTGTGCATGTGCGTTATTGTGTGCGTGTGTGTTGTGTGTGCGTTGTGTGTGTGTGTTCGTGTGCGTGTGCGTTATTGTGTTCGTGTGCGTTATGTGCGTGGCGTTATTGTGTTCGTGTGTGTTATTGTGTGCATATGCGTTATTGTGTGCGTATGCGCTATTGTGTGTGTATGCGCTATTGTGTGCGTATGCGTTATTGTGTGTGTATGCGTTATTGCGTGCGTATGCGTTATTGTGTGTGCGCGTTATTGTGTGTGTGTTATTTTTTTTTTGTGTGTGTGTGTGTGTGTGTGTGTGTGGTGTGTGTGGTGTGTGTGTGTGTGTGTGTGTGTGTGTGTGTGTGTGTGTGTGTGTGTGTGTGTGTGTGTGTGTGCACATGCGTGCGCGAGTGGGCGTGTGTGTGGTGTGTGTTGTGTGTGTGTGTGTGTGTGTGTGTGTGTGTGTGTGGTGTGTGTGTGTGTGTGTTGTGTGTGTGTGCGTGTGAGTGCGTGTGTGTACATATGTGCTTGAACATGTTTGTTTATTTGGTTAGGTGTGTCTGCCCGAGCATTTGTGTCTGCGTGCATATGCGTGTGTTTGTGTATGTATGTGCACATGTATCCTTGCATGTGTGCACAGATGTGTTTGTGCAGGTGTTTGTTTGTAGTCATATCCATTTTTAAAGCATTTTTTTTTTGTGCAGGCACAAAAATACCAGCACATATACATTCCCCAGCAATCAATAAATACCTGATTCACATCAGCAAACTTAGAACAGCACACCCAAAACACCATAGTAAAAATAACCACCACTTATATTTCCATACTGTTTCCAGTTATACTGAAATGCCAACAATGCCAACTAGCTAGGCAAGCTATAATATCTGCTTTTAGAATCTTTCTGACTCGACTCCATTGCCACTGTGCACTTTCACAAGCTCAGGCACCAACTGTGGTCATCCCTTCACCAATAAGCCAAACAATTCTTACCTACTTTACTATTCCACCACCACCCCTTCCTTCTCCTCCCCCATTTTGACATTCCAAAAGCATTTGTATTTTCTTCACAACCTCTTTCCCCTCCATCTCCACTACCATCACCTTCACACCACTCCAACCTCCTTCACTTCCACTTCCACTCCATTCCACACCAACCTCCTCCACTTCCACTTCCACTCCACTCCAACCTCCTCCACTTTCACTTCCACTCCACTCACAACCAACCTCCTCCACTCACATCCACTCCGACCTCCTCCACTTTCACTTCCACTCCACTCAACACCAACCTCCTCCACTTTCACTTCCACTCCACTCAACACCAAACACTCACTCCACTTCCACTCACTTCCACTCCACTCCACACCAACCTCCTCCACTTTCACTTCCACTCCACTCCACACCAACCTCCTCCACTTCCACTCCACTCCACACCAACCTCCTCCACTTCCTCCACTCCACACCAACCTCCTCCACTTCCACTCCACACCAACCTCCTCACTTTCACTTTCCACTCCCACTCCTCCACACCAACCTCCTCCACTTCCACTCCACACCAACCTCAACCAACTCCACTCCACTCACTCCCCACACTCCAGCCAACTCCACTCCACTCCACTCCACACCAACCTCCTCCACTTCCACTCCACTCCACTCCACACCAACCTCCACTTCCCACTTCCACTTCCACTCCACTCCTCACTTCCACCTCCACCAACACCAAACCTCCTCCATCCACTCCACACCAACCTCCTCCACTTCCACTTCCACTCCACTCACACCACTCCTCCACTTCCACTTCCACTCCACTCCACACCACCTCCTCCACCTCCACTTCCACTCCACTTCCACTTCCACTTCCACTCACAACTCCACTTCCACTTCCACCACACTCCACACCAACCTCCTCCACTTCCACTCCACTCCACACCAACCTCCTCCACTTCCACTTCCACTCCACTCCACTCCACACCAACCTCCTCCACTTCCACTTCCACTCCACTCCACACCAACCTCCTCCACTTCCACTCCACTCCACTCCTCCACACACCTCCTTCCACTTCCACTTCCACTCCACACCACACCAACCTCCTCCACTTCCACTTCCACTCCACTCTGCTCCACACCAACCTCCTCCACTTCCACTTCCACTCACACTCCACCACCAACCTCCTCCACTTCCACTTCCACTCCACTCTGCTCCACACCAACCTCCTCCACTTCCACTTCCACTCCACTCCAACTTCCACTTCCACTTCCACTCCACTCTGCTCCACACCAACCTCCTCCACTTCCACTCCACTTCCACTCCACACCAACTCCACTCCACTCCACACCAACCTCCTCCACTCCACTTCCACTCCAACTCTGCTCCACACCAACCTCCTCCACTTCCTTCCCACTCCACTCTGCTCCACACCAACCCTCCTCCACTTCACTTCCACTCCACTCTGCTCCACACCAACCTCCTCATTTCCACTTCCACTCCACTCTGCTCCACACCAACCTCCACTTCCACTTCCACTCCACTGCTCCACACCAACTCCTCCACTTCCACTCTTCCACTCTGCTCCCACACCAACCTCCTCCTCCACTTCCACTCCTCACACACCAAACTCCTCCACTTCCACTCACTTCCACTCTCTCCAACCTCCTCCACTTCCACTTCCACTACTCTGCCATCCACCACTCTGCTCACTTCCACTCCACTCCTCCACACCAACCTCCTCCACTTCCACTCCTCCACACCAACCTTCCACTTCCACTCCACTCCACAACAACTTCTCCCACATCCACTTCCACTCTCCACTCCACCCAAACTTCCACTCCACTCCACACCAATCCACTTCCACTCCACTCCACTCCACCAACTCCTCCACATCACACTCCAACCCAATCTCCTCCACATCCACATCCACTCCCAATCCACATCCACATCCACCCAACCCAATCTCCTCCACATCCACATCCACTCCAATCCATCAATCTCTCCACATCACATCCACATCCACCAATCCCAATCTCCTCCACATCCACATCCACTCCAACCCAATCTCCTCCACATCCACATCCACTCCAACCCAATCTCCTCCACATCCACTCCAACCCAATTCCACATCCACCTCCACCAATCTCTCCACATCCACTCCAACCCAATCTCACTCCAAAATCCACATCCACTCCACCCAATCTCCTCCACATCCACTCCACATCCACCACTCCAACCCAATCTCCTCCACATCCACTCCAAACCCAATCCACTCCAACCCAATCTCCTCCACATCCACTCCAACCCAATCTCCTCCACATCCACTCCATCTCCTCCACAACCCAATCTCCTCCACATCCACTCCAACCCAATCTCCTCCACTCCACTCCAAACCCAACCTCCACATCCACTCCAACCCGACCATCCACTTCCACCAACCAACACGCCACTCCACTCCAACCCAACCTCCTCCACCCCCACTCCACTCCAACCCAACCTCCACTTCAGACTCCCTCGCTTTCCTCTTTACCTTCACTCTATATATTCTATTAAATTGGGTTTCTTATACTCTGCATACTGCAATAATATTCAGATCAAAGTATTTATTTTCCCATAAAACTTGGTGCTAACACGAACAGTACTTCTTACAACAAAACTACCAAATTCCTTATCACCTTTATGGTTTGGCATATGCACAGAATTCTCTAAAAGCAACAGACGAGTTTATCATTTTTCGACTCATTTTTTCATGGCAAATACTGAGAGCAAAATTCAACATCATATCAAATTGACTGCTTTGCTAACTCAATTTTTTTTTTTTCTTGACTTCCTCCTTTCACAATCATTACACCCTGCATAAGACATACTTCAACAAACATTACTTAAAGATATAATGAGACATATCACTGAATTTTTCATTACCATAGATATAATCAGCATTACTTTCAACACTTTCAATTACTTTCCTGGTGTGTGTTTTAAATCAAATAATTTTTTTTTCATCTTTCTTGTTGCAAGAGCATAATTTTTCACGTCACAATCAATGCAAACTAGCAAAAAATAACAAAATTTCATTCACTGACCTTATCTACAATGCCAGCCCACTCGTCAAAAAATGATAGCGAGTATGAACTACCCTCACAGGCACCCAACTGTACAGGAATTGAGAGACCCAAAGCCCTGCACACCTTCCACTGTCCTCTAGTGCCACGACTAAAGTCACCTACACGCAGCAGAGGTCTTTCAATGACCTTCCCAAGGCCAAACTTAGTTCCCTGCCAAGTATAACCAGTACGATACAGTGGTGTAGCCAGATTCCTCAATCGCACTCCACTCGTCATTTTTTTTAACAGCTGTTCTTATTCCCATTCCAAAGACGTTTCCATTAGATAAGTACAGCCAAAGCAATGCCTGACATTTCAACATTTATTTCACTATTTACAAAGTATCTATACACTGGCCAGTATGACAGAACAACTCTACGGTACACCTAGGTCTTCCCTACTGGCACTCTGCCATTACATGAGCTTCCTACAATGAACAGTTCCAAACTAGCAGGAATTCTATGGCAAATATATGGCTTCTATTCCTTTTGTATAATGTATTCAGTTCACTGCATCCTTTCTTAAAATTTTAACAATGAAAAACCATAATTCAATTGATATACAAGAAAAGAAAAGAAATCGGATGCTCTGGCAACTTTGCTAACAAGTGCCAAGTCTAATTATAGTATCTCTAACCAGGTAAATGTTTCAAAATGGTAGCATGAACTGGAAAATATTCTATGCTTACACATTATTTGTCAAAATATATAGCTCTACTATATATGCATAGCAGATATCTACTATAGAAAATGATGAATACAAAATATGCAAATCACAGGTCAAAACCCAAAGAAAAAAATGATGGTATAATGCAAACATCAATAAATTCTATAACAAACTGATAAATTCACAATAAGCTCAATAAAATTTCTCATAAATCCTTGGGGCAGCCATTATTAGAAATGTTCAAAGACTGCTTGCCAAAAAATAAAATATAGATTTTCTTACACAACACATGCTTCAGTGTGCCTAGGTACAGATACTGCAACAATTACAAAAGCAATAACTTCTCTAGACACTAAAAAAATATATATTCCAAATCTTTAGTGAATAGTTGGTTTATATTTTTATTTTGATCATCGAGGATGAAATAAAATTATATTCTTAAATATTCTAAAATCCAGACATTTTCATGAAAATGACGAAGACTTCTAATGCTTCATATTCTTTTCAAAACAAAGAGTAAAATACATTACAATCTTTTGGCTCAAATAACAGAAACAGAGTAAACACTACTAGTTGCCATGCAGTATCTAAAAAACATTTCAAATATTTGGTTGATTTCCAAGTACACCAAGACCTTAATCCTGGAAGCTATGAAACAAATCCAATCTATTCTACAGCTTTGTGGGGTTAAAAACAGTAATAACTGCAATAATTCTATTGGTAAGGTACAAAGAATGCTTGTCTGGAAGGCACTTATGTAAAGATAAATGTGTGTGAATGTATATGCGAATGCGAATGCAAATATGTGCATGCGTGTGTGTACACATTTTATACATACATACATACATACATACATACATACATAAATATATATATATATAATATATATATATATATATATATATATATATATATATATATATATATATATATATATATATATATATGCTTGTGTAATTTCCGATACCATTACAAGGTTGAAATCCATACTGTCAAACTTAACATGGTTCTGTTGTATATTTGATAACCTATTAACTTTTTGTTATATACTACTGATTAGACAGTAATCATGGTTTTAACTTGGGGCATAAATGTAAACCAAGCTCTGAGTTTAACTCAATGCAAACAGTTGCCTTCTATACATGCATGCCAAAACAATGGTGGGCCTAAAACCCAGATGCCATTTAGACTTACTATGACAGTGAGAGTTGCTCTCCATTCTGCATGTTACATATGCAGTTTTATGACTCCAATTATTCCTCAACCTACAACCTTCCCATATAAAGTCTCATCTTCAAATTTTTCTTCTGCAAGGGTGACCCTAATATTAGCCCTGGCGCAGTAGCTGGTGTGCTCTGGTCATTTCCTGACTCCACTGACTTAATCTACACGTCAATATGAAACGAAAGACTGACCAAAGAGCTGGCGAGTAAAAACAGAGAGAAGTAGGGGTTTAGTCAGTCGCAATAATGGAGCCTAAAAATGGAGCCTAAAAGGACAGAACTACTACAATTGCAACCACCACCTTACCCCATCCTGTAAGTTATCCAATATAGAGACCTCATTAACTGCTAATGTATTATATCAATGAATAAAAAATAAAGTAATAAACAGAGAAGCAAAGGACAAAACTTTTAAAAAAGAAGAAGAAGAAGAAGAAGAAGAAGAAGAAGAAGAAGAAGAAGAAGAAGAAGAAGAAGAAGAAGAAGAAGAAGAAGAAGAAGAAGAAGAAGAAGAAGAAGAAGAAGAAGAAGAAGAAGAAGAAGAAGAAGAAGAAGAAGAAGAAGAAGAAGAAGAAGAAGAAGAAGAAGAAGAAGAAGAAGAAAATCTGAAATGACCTCTCATTCAATTAATCACTCGCTCTTATACAAGCACATGCACAGATAAATGTGGGTCTCATTATGTATCAACTAAGTAAAAAATACCACCTATATTTTTCACTCCACTTTCCAATTGACCATCAGTGCCAAAACAGTTCAAGGTGTACATTAGAGGAAAAATACTGAAAAGAACTACCTTTCAATTTCAAAATAGATATTCTAATATCTCATAATCAACTTATCTTTACATCTACATTATCTCCCTTTTGCTTATTATGATATTTGTGTGTGTGTGTGTGTGTGTAAGAATCTGTTACTGTGCTGGTAATACACACAACAAACAATTGTATAAAGAACAACTATGAAAAAAAAAAAAAAAAAAAAAAAAAAAAAAAAAAAAAAAAAAAATAGAAATTAGCAATTGAAAAGATACCAAAATCAGTTTTTCAATAATGTAACAGACACTATACCTTATATCAGGTTCAAAATGAAATGTTTACATATTGAAACTAGGTGCACTGTCATAGACTTACTAAAGAAATAGCGAAAAAAATTATACGATAATTCTTTATAGTACACACACACACACACTTGCCAGACGCTGTCCCCAACTCAACATCACAAAATTAATTCATTAACCTGAGGTGCTGTGACTGAGTGTGCCCAGAGGGGAGGGTTGATGGTATGCACGGCAAGATAGATACTTAGAGCTGAAACTTAGGCTGGGAGCACCGCTTTCCGGGATGTTTGATCTTTATCTGTGGTGTTACCATTCATGTCTACAGATTACTCCTTGTTACAACGACTGCAACTTTTTGTCCTCTACAACTTAATGTATCTATACCAGAAATATTAACCAAAGATACATTAAATGATACTAGCAGGTGAACCCCACACAATTATGAAAGATCCATTCACATTACCTTGTGCAGAACACTAACCTTCAACTCTTCAGCTGATATCAGGCCCTACAATATTACTACAATTAATTTCAATTTTTGTTTTCCACCTCCTAGATGAAGACAGGTGACCATTCATGTGGAAAATCTTTAAACTACTCTTTTTACTAATAAATAATATACAAAAAGTATGTGCAAATAGAAATCATTATCACATTATCTACCTATTTACATTACAGTAGTCGTTTTTATATGATATCCAAAATAATGTAATATGTATGAGGATGTTAGTGTCATTCCTGGGACCCAACTTGTTTGTTTATATGGGCATCATGTTTGTTTACATGAAAGCAATAGTGCTCTGCCAGTATGTTAAGGTCGAACCATCTGCATGCAGGAAATTCATTCTGAAAAGCAAATCTGTGGGGGAAAAGTTCTAATGTGAAAGGCCCTTTAAAAATTCCTCCACATATATTCTGCCAAAAATATAAATTGTAGTCATTCCTGGTAGTTTCTCATCAAATATGAACTCGGGAAATACTTTGCCTTACCTGTGAAGATTTGTTATATTTTACAGAGTGCCAAAGAAGTTGTGGATTTGGTGAGGATGTGGTCCTTGGTTCAAGAATTACCAGAAAACCCAAAAATAGTTTTTCCTAGCTTTCTTATGCTGAAGGGTAAAAAAGAAAAAAAGAGAAAAAAGGAAAAAAAAATCCTACATCCAATATTGCATAATACAGGGATTTTTTTTTTTTAAATCAAGCACAAAAATATTCTGATTCATATATATTCCCTATCACTCACGCACATACAAGCTTACACAAATATATTCATACATACAAGTATGCAGTACAAAAGATAAATTTCACTCTTTCTGTGAGACAAATAAACAGATGGACAGACATAGACATCCATGTTCCCACACAAGCATACACACCCACCAACTCACTCACTGACCCCTCACTCTATTGCTTTTCTTTAATCACTCACTCCTCACTCTCTCTCTCACTCACTCACCTCTCTCTTACTCACTCACTCACTCACTCATCACCTCACTCACTCACTCATCACTCTCACTCACTCCACCACACTCTCACTCACTCACTCACTCACCCACACTCTCACTCACCCTCACTCACTCACTCACCCACCTCTCTCTCTCTCTCTCTCTCCTCTCTCTCTCTCTCTCTCTCTCTCTCTCTCTCTCTCTCTCTCTCTCTCTCTCTCTCTCTCATCTCTCTCTCACTCACTCACTCAACTCACTCACTCACTCACTCACTCACTCACTCACTCCTCCTCACTCACTCACCTCTCTCTCTCTCACTCATTCACTCACCACCTCTCACTCTCACTCACATTCACTCACCCACCTCTCTCTCTCTCTCTCACTCATTCACTCACACCACCTCTCTCTCTCTCTCTCTCTCTCACTCATTCACTCACCCACCTCTCTCTCTCTCTCTCTCTCTCATTCATTCACTCACCCACTCTCTCTCTCTCATCTCTCTCTCTCTCTCACTCATTCCTCACCACCTCTCTCTCTCTCTCACTCATTCACTCACCCACCTCTCTCTCTCTCTCACTCATTCACTCACCCACCTCTCTCTCTCTCTCTCTCTCTCACTCATTGCACTCACCTCTCTCTCTCTCTCACTCTCACTCATTCACTCACCCAACCTCTCTCTCTCTCACTCATTCACTCACCACCTCTCTCTCTCTCTCTCACATCATTCCAACTCTCTCTCACTCTCTCTCTCTCTCTCTCTCTCTCACACTCATTCACTCATCCACTCTCTCTCTCTCACTCATCCACCTCTCTCTCACTCATTCACTCCACCTCTCTCTCTCACTCATCCACCTCTCTCTC